CTCCCCCTGCTCATGCTCGCTCACTCTCTCTCTAAAATAAATAAAACTTAAAAAAAATGAAAGTAATAAAAACATTGTATATACCAAACAGAACATTTCCTGCAGGCTGTGTGCAGCCCTCAGGCCTCAGTGTGTCACCCCCACTATATACTGTCCATATGACAGTCGGCAGCATATGCTCGAATACATCCAGGCACAAGGTGCTCTCTACTTGTCTGGAGGGAAGGGGGTTCTAGAGTTCCCACAGCCCCTGGATCATTCTATGGATTTTGCCAGGTGGGTCTGGGTCAGTCAAGTCTCAGTTATAGAGGAACAAGTAGGGGTCCTGGATGCTTCACTTGTGACCAGACCTAACTGTCCACCTACTCTGTGGCTCTGGCTTCAGAAGGGATAGGAGAGGACAAGGACAGCCCTCTGGCCTACGGCAGGAAGCAACTCTGTCCCGCTCAGCCTGCACCCCAACCTCAACCAGGGCCCTCAGAAAATGAGACTCAACATTCCTCACAAGGGTGTGGCAGCAAGGGCTGGTCCAGGGAACAGCTGCTGGGGCCACAGAATTAGCAGTCTCTGGAAACAAGGAAGCTTGATGAATCGCAAGAGCCTGGCCTTGGACAGGAGCATGTGTGCAGAGATTTGGCCAATTGGACACACGCATCACAGAAGGCAAGGCTGCAGAGAAGAAAGACTAATTGTGTCCACTTCCCTGTCTCGCTCAGGGTCCGCTCTGCTCCCCTGGGGTCCCAGATAAAGCCAAGAAGCTGCCGTGACAGCAACTCAGCCGGCTGTCATGCTGGCCCCCTGGCTGTGAACTGGGACATGAGATTTTCAAGATGAGGTTAAATTATGCTGATTCTACATTCGAAATGGAATCGTGCCTGGCATGAGTTCCATCTACACTGGCAGGACTCAAGGCAGAACTAATCGAATCAAAGTCTTAGCTTATTAACTGCTCCAAAGCCAAAAGCTAGTTTCTGTGCTGAAACAGTCTCCCCAAAACAGCTGTGGTTCAGGCCATCCTGAATTAACTCACCCTCTAGACTGTGAAGGAAATGCAGAAAGGGGAATAGTTTTAGCACTTTCTAGGTGCCAGGCGGTATGTGAAATGCTTTTTATGTATTATCTCATTTCATTGTTTCAACCATATTTTGAAGATTTTGACATCTCTAATGAAAAAAAGGAAATGGGAGCTCAGAGAGGTTACGTATGTGCCCACATTCATAGAATTAAGAAGTGGCACAGCTGGGATTTGAACCCAGATCTGGCTACTGTAAGCTGCGAGTGCCCCTGTCAGACTCTCTTAGGACTTCCACACTTGGTTTTTAATAGCAATCAAGAAATTTTAAATTAAAATATGTTCCTTTTAAATCCAAAAAAGAACAAAAAAATCCCACTAGAACTAAGAAATTAATTTAGCAGTGTAAAAGGATTCAAAGTCAATGTACAAAAATAATTGCATTTCTATAACCTAGCAATGAACAATTGGAAAAGTGAAATTTAAAATTCCACTTACAGTATCATTTTAAAAACTTACGAATTTTATTCAACAAAACAGATGTGCAAAACACTGAAAACTCCAAAACATTGCTAAGTGAAATTAAAGACCTAAATAAATAGGGATATATACCATTGTCCATGAATTGGAAGGCTCATTGCCATTAAGTTGTCCTTTCTCTGCAAATTGATAAATGGGTCTAATGCATTATTAATCAAATTCCCATTGGGCTTTTTAGTAGAAATCAATAAGCTGATTTTGTAATGTATATGGAAATGGAAATGACCTAGAAGAACCCAGTTGAAAAAAGCATAGTTGGAGGATTTACTCTGATTTTAAAATTTACTATAAAGCTCTAATAACAAAGGCAGTGTGATCCTGGCATAAAGGTAGACAAACAGATCAATAGAAAAGATACTCCTTTGGAGAATGAATGAGTGAATGAGTGAATGGATGGATGAATGAATGAATGAATGAAGTTGCTTCAAGGAACACATATCCCAGGCCCAGATAATGTGACACTAGGTATTGCGCAGGCCCCTATCCTGGCAAATTCATTTTGCTCCCATGTTCACAGTCAGTTGGGTTAAAATGAGCTTAAGTCATCAGCTTTGGGCAAGAGAAAGAAAATTGGATCCAGAGAGCAGAGCCTTGGGTTTTTTACCCAATTGTCATAGTTAAACATAAAAATACCAACTTTTCAGCATGTAAAAATAATAAAAGCACTAACCACATGGCAAGCCCTGTTGTAAGTGCTTTACTCTATCAGGGCAGCATTTAATTCTCTCGACAAGATAGAATAAAAGAAAAAATAGCAAGCACTGCATATAGGAAGGGAATATTATTTTGTGAGGATTTATTTCAGTTTTACATTTTTGTGTGTGTATGTACAGAATTACGATGTGAAATATCTAATTTATAGCAGGTTGCAACCGCAAAGATTTGAATGCCACTAGTGTAGTCAATGAGTTATTAAGAAGCCTGAATAATATAAGGCATGTAAGATTCTTAGCACAGAGCCTGGTATAGGGTAAAGACACGAGAAGTGGTAGATGCGGTCGTGACCACTGTCAAGGCCCGCCTCACCAGCATCCCCCACCTTTGTTGTTGCTCAGGGCTCTGTGCTTAGAAGGCCCTGCGCTTGGTTTAATGCTCTGCTGTCATTACCTTGAAATTCTTCATGATTTTGGGGCGCCTGGGTGGCTCAGTTGGTTAAGCGACTGCCTTCGGCTCAGGTCATGATCCTGGAGTCCCAGGATAGAGTCCCGCATCGGGCTCCCTGCTCGGCAGGGAGTCTGCTTCTCCCTCTGACCCTCCCCCCTCTCATGCTCTCTCTCTCTCTCTCTCATTCTCTCTCTCAAATAAATAAATAAAATCTTTAAAAAAAAAAAAAAGAAATTCTTCATGATTTTGAAGAGGGGGTCCTGCATCTTCATTTTGTACTGGGTCTCACAAATCATGTAGCCAGTCTTACTTTGTATAGTTGTTTATCACTTATTAAAATAATTACTTATACTATGAACTGTTTTTTAAAGATTTTTATTTATTTGAGAGAGAGGGACAGAGTGAATGAGAGGGAGACGGAGAGAGAATTTGAAGCAGACTCCGCACTGAGCACGGAGCCCAGTACGAAGCTGGATCCCACAATCATGACATCATGACCTGAGCTGCAACCAAGAGTCTGATGCTTAACCAACTGAGCCACCTAGGTGCCCCATATACTATGAACTTTTTAATTACTACTTATTACCATCAAATTCAATCTCTGCCTCTTACTAGTTAGAGGACAGTGAGAGAGAATACAGTACGGGGCTCCATCCCAGGACCCTGGGATCATGACTTGAGCCAAAGGCAGACGCTTAACCGACTGAGCCACCCAGGTGCCCCAGTTGTGAAGGTTTAAATAACACATGTTCCATGCCAAGAGTAACACCTGGCACATAGTAAGCACACCAAAAATCAACTATTATTATTATTATTATTATTATTATTATTATTATTATTATTACTGGCTTTACGAACAAAGTCCATCTTGGGCCTGGTTTTGTTTTTTTTGTTTGTTTGTTTGCTTTTGAGAGAGAGAGAGCAAGGGGTGGGCAGAGAGAGAGGCAAAGAGAGCATCTTAAGCAGGCTCCACACCCAGCATGGAACCTGACGCAGGGCTCGATCTCACCACCCACAAGATTATGACCTGAGCCGAAATCAAGAGCCCCGGACGCTTAACCGAGTGAGCCACCCAGGCACCCCTGGGCCTGGTTTTTCCATTGCACATTTTGGGGAAGGGATTACTGACTAGCTGAGTGCTTCTGGAACTTAACACCAGAGTACTTTGAGAATCCCATGGCTATCTGAGGAAAAACACAGACAGTCCATGCACATAGGCACACATATTGCCTACACGCTGATGGGCCTCTGCCGCCAAGGCCAGGGCTCCAGGTCAAGGACCTCGGAAAGCAAAGATCACCAGTGGCCCTTCCAGGCCTGGAGTCTGTGGGTCTCTGGGGTGGGAAGAGCTAGGCAGCCAAAGGAGCATTACTACTTAAGGCCGGGCTGTATGCTTGCTTTGGCGATTTAGGCCCGCAGCTATTTTTACTTTGGCTATATATGGCCAGGGCAGGAAGAGGGCTATAGGTGGGGGAGGGGTGCCAGGCGGCTTACAGCAGGGTTCGGGAGCTTGGGAGTGGGAGCTCCTTGCCTTCACCACCTTCCCCTCCCAGGGGAGAGCTGGAGAGCGGAGGAGAGGGAGAGGCTGCGGCCGGGCTTCATGAAGTCACTTTAGAACAGTGATTTTCAAACTTTTTTGACCATGACCTGCAGTAAGAAATACATTTATACACCATGTAATAAACACACGATGCATGTACACACACACATTATGTATGTACATGTATCTTCAGCTGAGCAAACAATACTCTTATGCTCTGTGAAACACTCTGCCTTTTCTGTTCTTGTTCTTTCATTTTTAAAAATGCAGGTCATGACCCACTAAATTGAGGTTACCACCTGTTAATGGGACAATACCCCCGGTTTGGAAAACTGCTGTTTCCTTTGGCTGCAAGGTAAGGTGGGGAGTGGAGGAATGGGACATATTGTCCCTTTCATCAGTACTTCCTAAAACTGCTGATAAGATGCAAGTTTCAGCTTTATCTCCTGGCTGGCAGCACGTGCTAGACTTCCTGGCTTTCGTGCACTCTGTTCTCTCAACCTGGAACACTCATCCTCCACCCTTGTCACCTGCCTCACTCCGTACTTCAGAGCCCAGCTTGCCGCTTACTCCAAGAAGCCTCCCTGATTGCCTTAGTCTGGTTAGTTGCCCGCCTCTTCATCCCTTAGTCCCCAGTACTTTCCTGCGTAGCACCCGACACCCTATAGTATGATTTCTTGTAGATTCAATGGAAGGTAGGGACCCTTTCCATTCTGTTCATTTCTACACTCCTCCCTCCCAGCACTATACTGCTTGCTTCATAATAATCACTCAGTACATATTTATTGAGCGAATTCGTGAGAGTTAATAGTAATTATAGCAACTACCGTTTATTGAGTACCCATTTTTCCCATGAGAAATCTTAGGAGAGATTAGCATAAGTCCATTTTATTGGTGAGGAAACTAAGGCTCCACGATATGAAATAATAGGATAGGCCAAGGTAATAACCCAGGGCTGCCCGACTCCCAGCCGTTTCTAATCACAGGATCTTATTTGTCTACATTCTCTTCAGCACTACTCAGGATGGGGCAAAGGGCAGGTCCTTAACAAACCCTCAGGGGACTGATGACAGGTTGATTAAAGAGATTTTCCGAAGCAGTGGCCACATCTAATTTTGGAGAGTTGCACCTCGTGTGTGGCTTGGGAGAGATCTGTGAGATTTCCAGGGCCCCTGGATGTGGGACTGTCTCATTTGGAAGAAGAGTCTGGGCCTCTGACAAACCAGAGGAGCAAGTCTTCCAGTTAACCTGGCCTGAAGACCTCCCATGCACACCCAGAGTCAAACCCAGGGCTCTGCAAAGCCTACGTGATCTGGCTCACACCCACAGCTCCAACATCAGCCCCTGCCTGTTCCCTTCATCCACTCAATTCCTGCCACCCTGGCGGTCCTGCTGTTCCTCAAGCATGCCAAGTCCAGGTCTGCCTCAGGGCCTTTGCAACTGCCATTCCCTCCCCGCCTGGAAGGTGTTACGCTCTCCGGAGGCCTCCCATCCTGCTTCCCAGACCACGCTATCCAAAAAGTCATCCTCTTCCTTCCTTTTCTCGTACCTTTGCTTGCTCACTGCCCTGGCTCCTGGAACTTGCTGTCGGATGGTGCCTCACACATAGTTGGTGCTCCATAATATTGGTTGCATGAATGAATGAATGAGTGAATGAATAGGTTTCCCCCCTTTAAGACATATTGGGAAATCAGTCCATAGTTTCTCAGAAATGTGTCTCTATGACTCACACCCAGGCCCCCAACACACACCTTGGTTTGGAGAGAGGAAAGAGGGAAGGGACATTTGGCCTACTTTGGTACCACTTTGCATAGGTAATTGGCACCCCAAAGCACTCAAGGATCATCTCCGTGTTCTAGCCAGAGAAACTGGGGCCTGCTCCCTACTTGTCCCCAGTGCTCAGCGCAGTGTCCAGCATAAACATCCAGGGAATTGAGTTGCACCGAACTGTAGAGGTTCAGCAAACGGCTGAAGGTCACCGAATTAGGAAGTGTGGAGCCAGAATTTGTCCTCAGCGCTGTCCGATTCCAGCCAGGGCTGTGTCGCTTCCACTGTGCCCACAGAAACTCCGGGGACACAACCTCACCCACATCTAGACACATTTGAGGGTAGGCCCTCGCCAGACACCCCCCAGCGGACAGCCCAGTTGGGAGCCCATGCTGTACCTGAGGCCCCTCTGGATAGGCCCACAGGCCTCAGCTTGAGCATAACGTCCCCCGTGGGCTGGTTCATGCTCCTTCCTTCCTGCTCCAGCACAAACCCACTCCCAGCCTGCCCGCTTCCTGCCCTCTGTCCTAAAGAGGGGAGATGAGCGGCAGATACACTATGAATGCCTTCAGACAGACGCCAAAATATTTTCTTTAAAGCAGCTATAGTTTTTGAGTTATCTGTGTCAGCTCCTCTTCCCAGTGGGGCATGTTAAGGAGACTTCAGAGAAGCATCCTGAGCTGGAAGGAAACTGAATGACCATTTAAAGCAGAGCCGGCCAACGTTCCTGTAAATAGATGAATAGTAAATATTATAGGCTTTGTGGGCCAAAAGGATATTATGTAGGGACTTCCATATAATTTCCACATGTCACAAAGTAGAGTTCTACTTTTGATTTTTTCCAAATATTTCAAAATGTAAAACCACTTCCAGCTTATAAGCTGTACGAAAACAGGCATCAGGCCGGTTTGGCCGGCTAAGCTATAGTTTGCAAGTGCCTGATTTAAAGCAATGCTTCTTAAACGTTAATGTATATAAAATTTTCCAGGGGAGCTTGTTAAAACAAATGCCTGGGCCTACCCTTAGAGATTCTGATTCAGATTCAGGTCTAGGTGGGGCCCCTGAGTTTGCTTTTTTAACTGATGGACAGATGATGTTGATACTGCCTGTCTAGTGACGGTATTTTGAGCAGCACCTGACATTCTAAAGCCCATTTTGTGGATGAGGAAACTGAGGCCCAACTAAGTGATATATGCAAAGTCATGCTCAGTGGATGAGGTGATGATATCTTTTCTGCCACTTCCCACAGCTGTTTTGCCACAGAAAATTCCTCTTCATCTCCTTAACCCCCTGGGCACGCTCATGCTTCTGAGCTTCTTACTCATTTCTCTCCCCACTCACACCCTCTCTAAAGCAATTTTCCCAACAAGATCCAGCTCAGATGTCACCTGTTCTAAAGCAGTCCCTGACCTCCTCAAATCTAACTTCTCTGCCCCAGCACTCTGTACCTACTTGTGTATGATTGTTTGTCTACGAGTCTATCTTTGAAGCCTTGGGCTGTATCTTATTCCTCTTCAAATCTAACTCTTTTTATAATACCTGGCAAATAGGAGGTACCACAGAAATATGCTCTAAACAAAACAATGGATGGATGGATGGATGGATGAGTAGATGGGTGGGTGAATGGATAGAAGGGTGGATGGATGGATGGATGGGTGGGTGGGTGGATGAATGG